TACATTTTACCAGCAAATTGATAATGTCATCAGAAAAAAACAAACTAAAACATTCCAAAGCAGTCTTTGCGGATTTCGCTGATTACTTGACACCGGGTAAGTGTAAAGTTATATTATGTCTTCATGTTCTTGCGGAGCTTGTTGATGGATACTTTGACCATTTTTGTTTAGGACCCTTTCTGCCATTATGTCTGGTAAAATAGAATTTATCATACTGCCCTGCACAGCCGTCGTCCTCGTTGTCTGAAGTCTCACTGGAGTGTGCGGACAATTCGTCGATTTCACTAGCACTATTATATCGCTTTGTGTTATCTCGTCTAACTCCGACTCAGAATTTGACCCTCCAACTTGTTCTTCATCAGAAGCCTCAACCATCCAGTTCCCAATTTGTTCTCTTCTATTCATGACGAATTCTGGAAAGAGATACAAAACTCATAGTAAAACGTAATTTTTCGGTACTTTCATTTTATAAAACTACACAAAACATATTTATTAAATAAATTTATAAACTGGACATTCAATAATAAAAATCGGATCAATAAAACACAAAAAATACATAAAATGAGCAACTTACCTTTTTCAAAAAAGTAACGTAATTAGTCGCACGGGGTCACTGCTCAAAAGCGCAACGACGTGTCCTTAGACTCCTGTGACATCGTCGCTACTAAAACACAAACGTCGACGCGTGGTCTCAAGCTAGCGGGGGCGCGGGGAAATTCGGTCCGCGGGAAATCCTTCGTTTTTGAATGCGAAACTGCTTTGACCCCATGCGAGTAATTGAGGGTTAATGTAGTGTTAAACACCATTTCGCCCTTTGATTCGGAATAATACAGCTAACCAATTGCAAAATATTCAAATTTATCTCAATCATCTAAGGTTCTTTTTTCAAAACATTCTTAACGTAGTGTTAATCACCATTTCGCCCTTTGATTCGGAATAATACAGTCAACCATCTAAGGATCTTTTTTTTACTTCCTTATTAATAATGTTTTTCATTATTTATTCAAAAGAGCATAAGTCAACCATTTAAAGTTCATAAATAAGCATATCAACCATTTAAGGTTCCAAAATAAACATAAATCAACCATCTAAGGTTCCAAAAAGTCAACAATTTGAGGTTCGAAAATAAACATATCAACCATTTAAGGTTCCAAAATAAACATAAACCAACCATCTAAGGTTCCAGAAGGACATAAGTCAACCATTCAAGGTTCGAAACTTAACATATCAACCATTTAAGGTTCCAAAATAATCATAAATCAACCATCTAAGGTTCCAAAAGGACATAGGTCAACCATTTAAGATTCGAAAATAAACATAAACAAACATTTAAGGTTCCAAAATAAACATTAATCAACAATCCAAGGTTACAAAAGGACATAAGCCGACCATTTAAGTTTCCAAAATAAACATCCGGATACTTGAGTATTAGCTCTCTCTTACCAAACATCAATAACTTGGGAGTAAAACCAATCCAAAATAAGAAAAATGTCACAGTCTTTGGCACACACGGTATATCCCACTTCCGATGTTAGCTTGAGGTCGAAATCAAACTAATTATCGCTCAAAACACTACTTGTATTGCACACAAACAATTCAGATCTGATCTCGTCAACAGAACGTTCATGATTGGCCGCTGCAAAAACCAAACAGAAACTGGTCACACATCCAATGTTTTTATCAAAACCATCACGATAAGCGCGAGCAGACTGGCACGGATACATTTATCAGGTGAGACAAAATCACATTTATCGGGTGAGACAAAATATTAAATAATACTGAATATTCCTAACATATATATATATATATATATATATATATATTTACATCTTAAGACCATACTGCTTCCTTTCAAAGACAAAGCATTCTGCGTCCACCGTTAGGAATTGCTCTAGCATACATTTTGATGTGTATATAGGTTCCTCATTGAATTCTGCTTATACCGATATACTTTTTATTGTCCATATTATGAAGGCACCAATATACACGGTATACACTTTTTTCGCAAATTAAATATTTTGGTTCCCTCTATATGACAATCTAAATTACTACCATCAGTATAAATCTGTACGTAAGTAGAACTATTTTGATTCCATAAGTTGTATATTTAACGTAGCAATGGTTATTTTGCTTCCGACAGTGTTGCGAAATTTACCATCTTTCAGTTCAGCTTAATTATTAACTTGGTTTGTATCTATGACATATAAGTTATTGGTAAATAGATATTATTATATGTCAAATTGTACTATAACTTTTTAGACACAATATTTCTTGAAGAAAAAGATTATTTAGATTATATCTCACAGAGAAAGGCGCTACCAACGAAAAGAATGTATAAATAATACTGAAAGAAGTAAAATCAATCCGTTTGGTAACTTGAAACCGAAATTTATAAGAAAATTGGTAGAGATGCATTTGACACTCAGTTACATGAAGTTATATGAAATGAGCAATCAGTCAGCACAACTTTGTATCAACCTAGGCCCAAGACAATTACAGTCAATGTGGAGATTTGATGATATAGCCGCAGTAATGGTAACATAGATTTGGAAGAAAATGATATGATAACCATTGTGCCATTAGCCGCACAACTCAAACTAATGGAAAATAACATATCGGCTAAACATGCTTATAATGTTAATGCTTACAATATCTGGTAGTGGAATACTTTTGAACTGAAAAAAGGGAGAGAGCTGCCAATGAATTTTTAACGGCTCTTCCGGTATTTTGGAAGTAATTGCAAAACACCTATCGAGTGTGAAGCAAACTTATACCAGGCTTAGAAAACAACTCGTATCATGAACTCACCAGTTGTACAGAATCTGAATAATAAAGACGTTTATTATTATTATCATTGTGTCAACTATTTAATTTAACGGAAGTGAAATCTGAGAGATGTCCAATTTTATGGGGCATATACTAGGGGTAGATGGAGATGTAAATCGCAGCCCCTATGCATCAATGTCTGAATTGCTAATTCTGATGGAAAAAGGACAAGCTAACGGAAACAAAGGAAAATAATCAGAAGAAATAACAGTGGATTTAGTAAAAGCTCTTTTGGAACAGAGCAGATGTAATAATGAGCATGTCGAAAAGAGGGAGGATGAAAAAGAGGATCAGGAAAAAAAAAAGTAAAAGAAAAAGTTATCAAATAGCAGTGCAACGCAAGGTGGTATGAACGTTTATATTAAATATTTCCATAAACTATGACAAGAAATACACACATTTACTAATGATACCCTCTGATAGCAGTCTAAGTACAACTAGCGGTCAAAATAAATGAACTCAAATGAGCTTGATTTCTTTATTTTCATTCACATTCACATTTTACAACTTATTTGCTTCTTTTTGAATACGCATTTTGTATAAAAACTTTAATCTTTAGCCAGTCTTTATTGGCTAGCAACTCGGGGTATAAACTTTTAATTTCTTCACAGTCCTTTCTTTTTGGAGCTTTTTTCATCTTTATGTTCTTATTAAAGAAGAATGTTACTGCTTCCTTCTGTTCACTAGTCCATGGTGTAAGAATACGCTTTTTCTTATTGACAGCCACAGGTAATTCCGTTTTCTTTCCTTTTTGCTCTGACACTACTGTTTTATTAGATAACATTTCTCTTATTTCTTTTTCTTCCTGATCCTCTTCTCCCTTTTCCATATCTTCTCCATCCTCGTCATCACACCCGTTCTCCTCTAATAGATCTTCTTCTAAGTCCACTGTTATTTCCTCTAATCCTTTCCCTTTATTTTCACCAGCTTCTCCTTTTTCCATCAGAATTAGCAATTTTGAAATTTTCGCGGTCTGGTACAAATCGTCGGGTAACCTATATGCGTCTTTATGTACCCCAGGTGTATGTCCCATGAAATTGGACAACTGTTCGATTTCATTTTCGTTTAAACTAAATAGTTGACTCAATGTTGCAAGGTGTTTTCTAAGCCTGGTACAAGTAATTGCTTGAGGATTTTTTGCTCCACAAGCATGAGCATATTTTGCAATTACTTTATATCCCTGAATTGGCCCGGTGAGCCGTGGTTTGCCAAAAAAGTAAGGATTTTCTTTTGGGACAAAATTATTCCTCACTTTGAGTAATTCTTTGACATGAAGCTGTATATCGTTGCTGAACAATACCGGTACACCACGGCCTCTTTTACCTCGTATCACAACTCTTTTCAGATTTTTTATCAGTAGTTTTTCCGCCTCGGTTATGACTTCTTCAAATTCTTCATAGGCGCCACTTTTAATTTCAGAACTCTCATAAGTGCGAAGAAACATCCTTTGCAGTTCACCTGGTCTTTTTCTATTTAGTAGTATTACCCTGCAATAAACTGTCTCCAGCAGAGTAGTGTAAGCGTTCGCATCAGCAGCATTTCTAGCCAACCTGTTCACTGCCTCTCCTGCTTTCAACAACAAGTAGTTTTTTAAAAGCCTAAGGTCTGTTGCTAATGGCACAATAGTCACCTTATTGAATTTTTTCAAGTTCAAATCATTGCCAGCGCGGCCAGAGACATCAAATCTCCAATTTGATTGCAGCAAATTAATCATCGTTTTGAGGCTAGCTTCATAAGTAGCTGTTTCAACTGATGGATCATTTTTTATAACCATGTGTATTCCAATGTCATAACACTGTTTCAGTGCGGTACTTATATTCATGGCAAATGTGGGAGAATCAAATGTGTCATTAACAGTATCGTAGTTTGCTACTGATTTTGTAGCTTCAACTAGTTGGTCATAGTGCTTCGGTTTCAGGGCATCAAACAGATTGTGTATTGTTGGCTCCAGTTTTTTCAATTCTAGTAATATTCTGGAAAGCTCTCTCATTTTTCTACTCGTTACATTGATAAAATGCTTTTCTCTATGGGTTTTCAAATATCTAGCACCATAGGCACAAATAAGATAATCATTTTTAGCCTCAAGAGATATTTTGTCCGCTCTCATTCTGGGAAAGACTTCGACTTTCAATCTTTGGTCAATTCTTTTATTTTTTACGAGAAGATTCTGCGCTTCAGATTGAGCATTTTTTGCTGACTGACCTTCCAAGCACTTTTTTTTGTGTCTGTATAAAAACTTTGATCTGTAGAATCCAAGACAATTTCCGCACGGAAGAAAAGATGCACTTGGTGAACGAGCCTTCTTCACAGGTTTGACGCACTCTTCTGAATTTTTTATGAAATTGCCTTTTTTCTTCAAAATTGCAAGTAATTTTCTCCTTTCTACAGAATTCTTTTGATGTGAAAATATTTCCTGAACTTTTGTTTCACATAAATGGTTCCTGCGTAGATGGCGTACAAAGTTCTGTACGTCCGTCTCACAGAAGTAACACATATCGGTCTGGCGTTTATATTTCTTCGATGCTGCGTGTCTAGAGGGCTCTGCAGATTCGCCTTCACCAGCACAAATCAATGGCGGCTCATTCTCCATTTCCTGAAACAAGCGATGATTAATAAATTGAAATTATGTATTGGTGAATCATCTAGTCATATCAAGTGTAAAATTAAAGAACATAGTAGTTTGGAAAACAGTGATCTCTCAACGTGAAACTACTACCATATGGCCAGGGCTTTTAACCTTGTCTTAGTTGGCCGGGACTATAATTCTTGCCTTAGTATAGTAGCCCGGAGCTTATTCAAGGTCAAATGTGAGCGTCACCCCAGGACATATCTAAACGTAATATTTTTCGCTCATTTCATTGCAGGAGTCAAAAATGAGGATCTACGTTTAAAATTCTACCTTTAAATGACCTTCAAGGTCATAGTCGAATCCAAGGTCATCTTCTGATAGCTGAGGATTAATCCTACAACTTTTATTTACTGTATTCCACCCTAAAATGCATTCCCGAAGAGTTACCCATTAGTGGTGATTTGACGTTGAAGATCACTCAATGTGAAATATAAGGATCGCTCAAGGTGATGCTTGAATTTAAAATGTTCCGCCAGTTTCATTACTCGAATCAATAATAGGTCTTTACATTATTTGAAATTTTGTTAACCTTCAAGGTCAAAGTCAAGGTAAAAACAAAGGTCACCGACCGATAGATGACGCATAATCCTACAACCCTTATTTGAAGCATTTCTGAAAAGTATTCCCAAATAGTTGTCGAGCCGTCACGGTATTTTGCCACATCCTGTATGCCATATATTGCTAACAACGAACTTGGTTTTGTGATGTACATGTCATGAAACATTAAAAAAGTATCATCTTGATTTAGAAATGTTTCGCAATTACAAATACTTCCCCGCCAATTTACGCGAGAAGTAAAAAAGTATAACAAATGGCAAATTCGCAGGATTAATATTTGATGGACTTTTTGGTAATTTTTATAACCTAACAGTTTTAACGCGTATTGAAATAAAAAGTACATAGATGTGGCTATAAAAATAGAACAAAAAAGTACTAAATAGTAAAATATCTCATGAGCTTTATGTTTGCTATCCTTTTTTATAATCAAAGAGTTCTAATTTCATTCGCTCATCCGAAACCTAGATCGCGCATGTGATTTGACAAGTGGCGATTATCTATATGTTGCGCATACAATCTTTTTTTATGTCATTTGTATGATCTACGACCTTAAAAAAATTCGGCGGGTGTATTTTAAGCAAAGTTTTAGCGAACTTATGAAGGCGAAAAGTCACATCACTGTTATTATGGTGCTGTATTAGAAACGGAGGCCATATTGTACCTATGTTTGCTGGCTTTTTCGTTCATAATTTACCTGTTTTTGTTTGGGAATGTTTCTTTTGGGTTCTTCCTCTGATTCACTTTCAGTGTCTGGAACAAATTCGGGATCAGCATCGCTATCATATGTAGGAGACGCAGGGGAATTTTGTTGGTCCTAGAAATATAACTCTGTTGATATGGCAATAAATTCACATATACAATTCATTGTCAGGTCACTGCAGAAGTTACATTTGGATATGATTCGTAAACTTCAAAGTCTATAGCCAAAGGCGGGTTCAGGATTTCGTCTAGGGGGGGGGGGGGGCAAACGATATTTGGGGCTGGTCATTTTTTAATCTCAGTGGAACTTCTAGAATTCCTATTATTGCTCCTTAAATCCATTGTGTTCTATCTGGTCAAGGCCAACTTGAAAAAAAACATGGAAAATGCTCAGAAATACTCAAAAGTGCAATATTTTATTATATGAAAACAAAATAAGTAGGTGGCATGTATAATTAACTAGTGTAATAATATTAAAGATTCAAACATAAAAAACTTCAAACACAACATAAATCACCTTAAGTGATGTCAAAGAGGGTCAGCATTTGGAGTACCAAAGGATACCAAAAAATCGCAATGCTCAGTTCATATAGCTATAACTTATATTTAGTATGCTTCTGTCGCCATGATGTGTGAGAAAGTAACACAGTGGAGTGGTGTTAGATTACAAAAGCAAGTGTCCGACGTCCAGGGAGGGGGCGCTAAATCCGCCAGTGTCTATACCTTATGAAAAACTATGACTAATGCGATTTTTGAAGGGAAATTCTGATATAAGTGTTAAAAGATTAACGACCATTGCTGCAGTTAAAGTTTAATGGGTGATTCTTCACGAACGCAAAAAAAAATTCCCCCACCTTATCCCTCAATTTTGAGCCATCCAAAGAGATTTTGAAAAATGATTAGGGGACTGAAACGTACAGAAAAAAGTTTGAGCATTTTTTGTATCTTTTTTTTTTTGTTTTAAAAAATTCAAAACTTTTTCATACTCCTCTTAGGAGCAATCTTGTCTAAAAAAATCCATATGGAGTTGCCAAAGATTTGCAGGCAGACTGACAGAAATGAGTAGCATGGATTTTTGGGATTGTCACGAAATATTAAAAAAAAACATGTTTCGATTTCGAACTTTTCTGAAAATTGGCATGAGAAGTACAACGCCTCGTATAAGAAATTGTCGCTATTGAATATTTGTCCCAATCAACGTAAAGAAAAAGTTTCACAAAATCTTTAAGGTTAGGTTGTCACAAAATATTCTCTCCCCGTGGGCCAAAGGACTATTGAGACTTACAAGAATCTAGTCATTGTTGAAACTAACCTTCTCTTGTCTAGTATCATTTCCACTCTTGTCCTCACTTGGAGATAATGATCTGTTACAAAGCCATCTATTTGTTTTTCTGTTATTCCAGAATTTCATCACCTGAAATTTTGAATCAATCAAAAAACAATCATTCCTCACCAGTTGGCGTGGGTAGTAAAAACACAACTTACCTCTTCTTGACTGCTAGCCATTTCGATCTCAAAGAAAGTTACTCGTATTTAACAAGTACCTAACAGGCAAAAGAAACTCACTGGCTGCAAAATCGTACTCAAAACGTCGGGAATCAAGATACGACTGGATAGATCATATTGTTATACGTATAGACGCGACATGCAGCGTTGTCAATGATTTTTATAAGAGGAACCAAAATAATCTACGGAATGAAGGCAAAGCTCCAGTGAGCATATTTATGCCTCCGCGTAGCGGAATTCCTGTGAACTAAAATCGTATTTTTTGGTTACAAAAGTAGTAATAAATTGCATCCACACATTATTTAATTGCGGCCATCTGGTGCCAGGTATCATAGAACAAAAACTCAACACAGACTCTGCTGGAGAATCGCATAGGAATCTGTAAAGATTGAAACATCTCTGGTCTTCTAGAGCGGCAGAAATCGAGTTAACTATTTTGAGTCCGATATATGGTATCAATATAGTCATGGAGTCAAGATGTAATGTGCCGTGCATGTTGATGGAAGCAAATGATTGACCTGGATGTAAATATATATATATATATATATATATATATATATAAATGAATCCCTATTCCGAGTGGTCACACCATAATTTGAGAACGACTTCACCGATTTCGTTCATCTTTTTTTTTTAAGTTTCCTAGTGCTGTATAGAAGGTTCTTACGGGAAGAAAAATCAAGAAAATAGCGCAGAAAATTGGGAAATAATTGAAAACCTAATGATTATGTAAGCTACGCGCGTTTGACGGTTTGCTTGAGCATGGAGCACGCACAGCAGAAGAATTATCGCGAGTACCAAAAGGGACAGGCATTCCTCTCCGCCATCTTTATTCCAACAGCTATTGACAGTTAGCTATGTGAGAGAAAATTGCTTATGAACACCGCATTTTGTGATGGCCCCTTCAAAAGAAACTGCAGTGTTGCCTAATTGTTATGTTGGTCAGTTAACTCTATGAATAAAAATGCCGGATGAAAATACGTTTATTCTGCTTCATTGCCTTTCACTACTCGATAATCAAATCCAAGCGAATAACCAATATTTCTGTTTTATGTGCCGCGGTTATAATATGGTTTAAGATGACACACGGGTTGATGACGTCAGTTACTCGAATCGCTTGAACGCGTTGGTTTTAACCGCGGTTTTGTTGCAAGTTGTTTATTTTTGAAAAGCGCATGTATAATTTCTGAATATTTTTATTATCACTTACTAATCGGTGCTTTTTCGTCTACAAGGAAAGTTTAAAAAAGAAACCTTTCATAATATTAATGGGAGAAATATTTTTTTTTCAAAAAATTATTTTTAATGATGGAACTATGGCTTAGTAGCTATGATAACTTTCAATTTTCTAAAATTTTCCTCATGCCAAAGAAAGCACTTATTGATTTAGCAGAAATGATAAAAAAAGCGATGAAAGAAAATATATGTATTAGCAAAACCGTATACAGGTGGACATTATACTGTGAGTTTATATGGCCATATCCTAATATTCTTGTGGTATATGGCTACACGGGATACTTTGTTAATCATAGCAACTGGATTTAAAGTGTCCTCAACAACAGTAATGAGTATAATTAATAAGGTGCTCTACTTTATGCAACAACTAAAGTCAGCCTGTATCAAGTGTCCCAAGAATGAAGCTGAAGTGCAACCAAAATACCCAATACCCGGCAAAATTCTAACTTGTCACATTTCAAATGGTAACCAGAAATATAAAACTACTCCTGAGTTGGGTAAATACCACAATTTTGCAGTAATAACTATGACATACAACAGCTGATTCATGACGTCACGGATCTTGTAACCGAACTGATAACCACACTCGCCTGAACGGATCGGTAAATACCAATCCAAAATGGTAAATACCAACCAATACCAAAATATTGTTTTATTTTATTAGTAGTGCACACTCCGATTAGATCTTATATCCAGTTTTGAGTTTGTTCAGTGAGTTTTTTGAGAAGTATTTGTTCAAAAGTAATTAACAAGGGTAGGAGTTAGTTCAACGCAATCACGCCTCATATTAAGATTGTGATTCTTCAAAATGCCACCAATTAGACGTACCAACCTAGGTTGCAATGCTGCAAGTCAAAGATATATGCGAAGGAGTCAAACTGACGAGCAACGAGAAGCGAGAAATGAAGTTGAACGGGATCGAAGGACTGAAATTTAACAACGTAGAAGTGTCGTATTTCACAATCGATTACAGTTCAACAAGAAACGGTTGCTGTTGGAACAATGAACGTTGTGAGTCCACATTGCAAGGCTTTCAAGTTTAAGGAAGAAGCCCCTGGATTATGTTGCATCAGTGGAACGATCAAATTGACTCCACTGGGCCATTGATGCCATCACCAGAGTCACTACATTCATTGGTTCCCAAAAATGGTCCAGATTCTATACATATCTTGACTGATAACCAGTAATACAATAATTGCTTTCAAATGACGTCATTTGGTCAAACAAAATTCATTCCACTAAGTTGATGGGGGAATGACAGTGCTGCCAACGTATTCCTGCTAGCCACATGGCGATACAAACACTTCGCATTACAATTACCTATATTCCATATATTTACCTTTTTATTATTCATTATTCATTCCAGTACATACCTAAGGGCCGTACCGTTAGTCGTTCCTATGTTACAATTGTAGTATGCCTTTACAGCCTCCTTGATTTTCATACTATTTTCTCTCCTCCAGAAAGGCTGGGGAATTTCTAGATTTCTACTGCTCCGTGTCTCCGAGGCTAGTTTATCTTTTTGAATTCTAGAAAATTTCAGCTGATATAACAGATTATACAAATCAGGAGCGTGAACAATTTGATGCAAATAGTTATTCGTAACACAACCTCAAAATAGAACGCTGACACGGAACAGTAGAAAACTATGAAAATCAAGGAGGCTATAAAAGCGTCCTACAATTGTAGGAACGACTAACGATACGGCCCTAAGACAGGATAACGTCTGTCGGATCAGCTAGTGTACTATATATTCGAGAAAACGTAGATAAAAAGTAGAGAAAACTTTGGGACTTCGGGTATAAGTTTCTTTTAGATCCTTTATGATGTTTATCTGGTTTACTCATTTGTGTACGGGTTTCTGTAGGATTACCTATTTTCTGTCTGTGGCTAACGGTCTGCACATCTGTTAGTCATTTTTCCACCTTCCTAGTGCGAGCCGGTAAAATTATGGACAAAGACCAAACGATCCTTAGACGTTTCCCAACTTAGTTTTGGTATGCGTTTTAAGTTTTTAACTCTCTATAGACATAGTCATCAAGTAACCTTTTGGTGGGGGTGACGTAATCAAAAAGTTCCAAGCCTTGTGTTCCTTTCTGTGTTTCTTACCACTTTAGAGCTCAATCATATGTTTTTTACGTTTATCAAGTTACTGATCGGTTAAGAGTTTACTCAAAAGAATGGTAGAATGAATGATAAAATGCGGAAGGTCTTGGCATTAAGTACTTGACAACTTTCTTTTTAAATAAAACGCAAACCATTTGACATATTTCGAAAATTTTATTATTAGTGTGAAATATGCTCGAAAAATTTATGTATGGACTTCGACCTCGTTCATATGTCCACCAGGGGCACGTTTGCAGCGATCGGTTCGGTGGACCCAATTTTCAATGACTCGTCCACAAAATTTCTACAGAAACGGCCGCTATTTGTCGTTCAATATTGGCTCTGCGCTCCTTTAACGACGCTAGCTTGTTGGCATAGACCAATGATTTATTGTAGCCTCACAAAAAAATCTAGAGGTGTTGAATCACACGGTCTAGGCGGCCATTCGACAGAACCATTTCTTGATATAACACGTTCACCGAATTTTGATTTCAATATGTCGGTTGTTTCACCCGCCGTATGGCTTGTATCACCACCTTCTTGAAACCAAATAATATCATTAACGTCTAGCCCATCCAATTGACCAAAAAAATAACGTTGCAACATGTCGCTGTAGCGATCTCCGTTGACTAACGTGACGGTCATTTTCATCGAGAAAAAAAAACGGCCTAGTGACACCACCGGCATGAAAACCACACTATACAGTTATTTTTGTGGATGAAGTGGTGTTTCTTGAAGCACATAAGGGTTTTCACCTGACCAATAACGCATATTTTGTTTGTTGACGAAGCCGTTTTGCCAAAAATGCGCCTAATCGCTAAAGATTATTTTGCGATGAAATTGGTAATTTTTTTGCAGCGTTTCTAGAGCCGGTTCGTATGATCGAACGGCTTCAGTTCTTGAGCTATCTTGATCTTATAAGTGTGCAGGTCAAGATCTGTTCGCAAAATTTGCCATAGTGTGGTCTGAGCGATGCCCAATTCTTGAGAACGCCGTATAATCGACGTGTTCTGTTAGACAGAAGCTGGGAACGGCAGCAATATTCTCGGCTCTTCGACCAACTCGTTGTCTCACTGGCACGACAACATCCAGCAGCGAATATGGGGACTCAAATTTTTTTACTAGACTACGAATTGCTTGTCTACTGGGACGAGAATTATGACCAAAAATTGGCGTTAACGCTCTAAAGGCGCTTACACACATCGCGAAGCGTGCGTCGCGAATGGTTCGTCTCGCATGCCTCGGGCTGTGTGGACGTGTATGCTCACAGTGAGCATTCGCGTCATACGATCGTTGCAAACGCCGCCTCGTGATGTCTGTATGCGCCGTAGAAGTTGCAGTCACCGACTCGGAATTTCGGCAGCACATTTTAATTATTTGTAAGCGTTGTTCGTTCGTGTACTTCACGATGATGAAAATGTTTTCTTTACTGAATGTTTTGATATTGACAGTTCGGTAATTGATTCAAAGGTGCGTTCACAGTGAAAGTTCAAAGTTGTCAAGTCCCTATTGGAAAACCCGATATTTGAGTTAGACGTACGAATAATGATAGAGAACATTAATGCATCAACATTTTTTTATTCTGGTGAAGCTTCAGAAAATACTTCGAGGGTGCTCTGGACTAGTCCGCGGTGATCATTTGGAAACAATTGTTGCATACAGTGCTCTTTATAAGGTTCCTTCCATACATATCTTGGGAAGCAATCTGGAATCCAGAATAACGGAACTCGTGCATCAATACTATATTCTGGCGTAGACAATTTCGATATGGCGGGGAAGGTGTATTTTCGATTTTTTTTAAATCAAATGGGGGATAGTGTGATTTTAAAACCACGTATGAGTACTTCATAACCCTAGAATATATATATAATTATATTTCAGAATAGCGAACTTGCCAAAGTTGAGCGTAGTTGTATAATAAATAAATCGCTTATAACTCAGGAACTAATCATCAAAACATAGTATTTTCTATCAGTCTTCGCTTTTTGGAAGAGTCTGTCTGAATGTGCAATGAGATATGGGACATTCTGATGAAAAAATGACAGATCTAAATGGAAAGGTTCATGGTTTATGCCATCTCCGGATATGCCCTTGCAAGAGGACATTGTAATAACATACT